CCTGCTGAGGATGCTTGTTAATGAAAGGAATTTCAAACATTTAACTACCTCAGTACAAAAAATACTAACTTCTTTTTGCCTGTAAATGGCCTGTGTCAACATGCCCTAAGATTTAGTCCAGTTACAAGAAAATATTACTGCTGGATTATGTAAATGCTCCTGTTAACAGTTATAAGGCGTGAGACGGGCTTAAACTTTAGCATTTCAGACATCAGGCCGCAGTACCAGTAAAAATAATGATGCTAAAAACAACGATGCCCACCTACGCATGTGTATCAGCACTTGTGCCTTAAATGACTTCAGGATTTTTTCCCCATCAGAGCATTTTTCAAACAGATATATTACATGATCAGAGACAGTACCATGTTTCTGGTAGCACCATAAAAGCAGAAAATTACATGTCTTCTACTACAGAGGCCCAACAAGAAGAGGAGAACAGCAGCACGCTGTAGGCAGGGGACAGAGAACGTGAAGAAGAAAGCAACGGTGATATTGCCCTTTCTGGCAACATTCCCACGGAGCTTATCTCATCTCACAGGGCAGCTACACTTAAGAAACACCAACAGAGTTTGGGAAAGCACAGAATTCACTATTTACCTACTTAGCAAGCCTGATGCATATCCTAGGAACTGCAGCGCCTCTTACCAAATGCTGGCCAGTTGCTATTTATGTTTTGCCGTGAATGTATTTACCGTGCCACTTTGCTGGGTAAGAATGCGAGCTGAAATCCTGCCCACAGACCCCACACATGATACCCCTGAAAGCCAAGGGGAAAGGATTCAGCTCCCGGGGGGATGCCATACTGCCGCTTGCCCCCACCCCCTCAGCTGCGAATAAGGGTGAGAATGCGCCGGCGATGTCAAACCCTGACGAGGAGGACAGATAAAGGGCTCAAAGAACTGATAAGGACTAGCATGGCAGCCTTGAAGAGCCACAGCTGTAATTAAAACAAAGTACTAAGGCAAGTACAAACCAAAACCGCTAATAAGAACTAGGTTACTTACACTGTTAAGTGACCTAGCCTAATCAGAACGGTAAAAAACCCACCCTCGAATGGCGAAAGCCCCCTGCCAAGAAAAGCCCCTTGCTCATGGAACACGCGCAGCAAAGAGGGAGGATACGGTGGCTGTAAGCGGAGACGCGAAGGCCCAGCGGGACAACACTGCAAAACTGGTCACTGTTGGCCGAAACGTGTGGATGTTTGCCGCGCGTTGGCCAAACTGTGCCAGCCGCGGGGAGTTACCACCCCG